CTGATATGCAACTAGTTGAGAGTCTGTTTTTAAGCAGACATGATCGGCTTCCAAGGAGATGCACAATTGTAGGCCGGCGATTGCTGCCTCTTACTCGGCTTCATTGTTCGAGGCCTTAAAAGAAAACTTTAGTGCATACTCAAAGGATTTGCCTTCGGGAGAAGTTATCACTACTCCTGCCCCCGAACCGTTTTCGGTGGAAGACCCATCCGTAAACACGGTCCAGACTTTCTTTTCACTGTCTAGCGCTTCTTGGTATGAGCATTCGGCCAAGAAATCCGCTAGAGCCTGAGCCTTAATGGCAGCCCTCGGACGGTAGCTGATGCTGAATTCGGTGAGCTCAAAAGCCCACTTGGCTAGCCTACCAGATTTTTCAACCTTGCCGAGAACTTTTTCCAACGGCTGATCAGTTAAGACCACTATCTGATGGCAATCAAAATAGGGCCTCAGCTTCCGAGCAGCTACTACTACCGCGAAAGCGACTTTCTCGAGTAGAGGATAGCGGGTCTCGGCATCCGTCAGTGTATGACTGACGAAATAGATCGGTTGCTGACTCTTACTCTCTTCCCTCAGCAATACTGCGCTGATGGTGGCTGGGCTAACGGCCACATATAGGTATAAAGTTTCTCCTTCAGCTGGGCTAGCCAGCGTTGGGAGTCGAGCCAGATGCTCCCGAAGCTGTTTAAAGGCGTCTTTTTGCTCTTCCTCCCAAACGAGCTCTTTTGTTTTCGGGAGTTTTAGGGCTTTGAAGAAAGGTAACCCCTTATCCGAAGCTCTGGAAATGAACCTCGAGAGGGCTGCCATTCTTCCGGTGAGCCGCTAAACATCCCGCTTCGTTTTCGGCTCAGGAAGGTCGAGCGCCGCTTTGACTTTAGAGGGATTGGCATCAATCCCCCTTTTGCTGACCATGAACCCCAGGAATTTCCCTGACTTCACGCCGAAGACACACTTCTTCGGATTCAGCTTCATCTGATGCTTTCTCAAGGTGGCGAAAGTTTCAGCCAGGTCCTTTACATGGTCCTCTAGTTTTTTGCTTTTGACGATCGAATCGTCAACATAGACTTCCATGTTTCGGCCCTTTTGATCGGCGAAAACTTGATCCACCAGCCTTTGATAAGTTGCCCCCGCATTTTTCAATCCGAAGGGCATCATTTTGTAATTGTACACCCCAGCGTTCGTGACGAATGCTGTCTTGGCTCGATCGTCGGGGTGCATAAAGATCTGATGATACCCCGAGAATGCGTCCATGAAGCTAAGCAAGGCGTGGCCACTTGTCGAATCGACTAGCTGATCGATTCTCGGCAAGGGATAGAAATCCTTTGGACAAGCCTTATTTAGGTCCGTGAAGTCAACGCACATCCTCCAGGTACCATTGGGCTTCTGAACCATCACCACATTTGCCAGCCATTCTGGATATTGGCAAGGTTCAATGAACCCTGCCTCCAACAATTTTTTGACCTCGGCTGCGATGTCTCGGTTCTTATTGGCGGAGTAATTCCGCTTCTTTTGCTTAACTGGTCGACACGTCGGGTCAACATTAAGCTTATGGGAGATGAGGTCTGAACTTATCCCGGGCATATCAGCTGCCGAGAAAGAAAACACATCTCTGTTGTCCCGAAGGAGCTGAATAAGTTCACAACGGGTGTTTGGATCAAGGTCCATCCCAATTGCTACACATTTCTCACCGTCTCCTTCGGCCAACTGGACTGTTTCAGTCTGTTGGTCCATGTCCATTGCCGATGGACTGGACTCTTCAGAATCTGGCCTGCTGCCAATGTCAGCAGGTGTCCCAGTCTTTGTGTTCTTCGGCTGGCTCTCTGAGTCTTGCGGCTCAGCTGAAGAGCTAGCCTTTTCCCTTTCGGGCCCTTTTTCTCTGGGCTTAGATCCTTGGGCCGAAGCACTTAGGCCTTTCGGCTTTTTTGTGCTTGGCTCTCTTTCTTTTTCTTTCTCCTCCTCATCCTTGTCGTCATCTGGGCGACTACTGGATGGCTTGAGGTAGTTGCACCTTCGGGCGTCCTTTTGGTTGCCCTGTATCCTTTCGGGGAAGCCGGCGTCTGAGACGTAGATCATCAGCTGATGATAAGTTGAGACGACCCCTTGGATCTCGTGAATTATAGGTCTCCCCAAAATCACGTTGTACACTGAAGGAGCGTCGATGACCAAAAATTCAATCATGACGTTCCGGGCTGCCTCATCGCAACCGATGGTGACAGGAAGTGTCACCTTCCCATCTGGATAAGTTGAAGCCCCATTGAACCCGGATACCGGATAGGGTACCGGCGTAAGGTGCTTGGGCTTCAGCTTAATTTGATTGTAGGCCTTTCGGAACAGAATGTTTGCTCCACTGCCACCGTCAACAAGGACCTTACTGACGTCGTGGTTGGCCACCGTGGCGATGATCACCAACGGATCCTCGTGAGGGAACGTAATCCCCCGGCAGTCGGCGGCTGTGAACGTCATGTTCGGCACCGGCGACTGGGGAGATTGAATGTCAGCGTTGTTCACCTGGTGAGTCAAAGCTCTAAGGTGGCGCTTGTGCTCCCTCCGAGAGTATATTCCTCCCGAGATAACATTGATCGGAGGGAATTTCCCCTCCGGCTTTTTACTGTTTTTCCGGGGGAAATCAAGGTCCTGCCGAGGGTCCTTTGCTGACCTCTCGGATTCTTTTTTCTCGCGGTGATCCGCGATATATTTTTTCAAGTATCCCTTCCGGACCATGTCCTCTATCTGGTCCTTCAGCTGGATACACTCCTCAGTGTTGTGGCCCGAAGACTCGTGGAACTCACACCACTGATTTTTATTTTTTCGCTGATACCACTCTGGGAGTGGTCTCGGCTTTCGGTAACTCTGCTCCTCCTTCGTCACACTGTAAATTTTGGCGCGTGGAAGAGAGAGCGGAGTGTAGGACTCGTATCTGCCTGTGTATGAGGCAAATCTTTCCTTCTTTGGGTCGTTGGCCAAAGATTGCTCCGGGGCCTTTGACTTTCCCTTTGCCTTATGGCCTTGGCCTTCAGACAAGGGTATTTGCCTCTGTTTCCCTCCCCCGGATTGAGGTTGGGTTTTCGCTTTGTTCCATTCTTCGGCTCGGATGAACTTATCCGAAGCACTAAGAGCTTCCTCCAAAGTCTGCGGGGTATGCATGACCATGAAGTCTAGGAACTTTCCTGGCTGAAGGCCATTCTGCATTGCGAAAACGGCTAGCCCCTGGTCCAGCTGGGAGACGCTTGATGACTCGTTACTGAAACGGGTCAGGTAGTCTCGGAGGCTTTCGGTTTCCCCCTGTTGCAGACTCATGAGCTCTGCGGTAGTCTTCTCTCGGCGGTTTGCCGTGGAAAACTTGCTCCTGAAGTTGGAGGACAGATCATCCCACCCTGTTATGGAGCCTTGCCTTACTCCCTTGGAGATCCACGCTTGCGCGACCCCCTTGAGAGTGGTTGGGAAATATTTGCACCAAGTCGCCTCGGATCTGGGGCAAAGATGCATATGAGTCTCATACGAGGCCACGTGGTCCTTCGGATCCGTGGTCCCGTCATATGTGATGTGCGAAGGGATTTTAACCGTGGGTACGCGCTCTTCCAGTATCCATTGCTCGAATGGTGAACTAGCGGGTAGCATAATGGCCTTGCCCTTGTTCCTGGCCGAAGGGACCGCGCTCCGCCCTCTTAGAGAGGTAGGAGTGGTTTTCGTCCCTGGCTGGGAAGTCTGGGCCTCGGCTGCAGGGAACGAGAGGCGACTACGCACGCTCGGTTCCTGGCCGCCGAGTCGGTCAAGGACGCTTCTGCGAACAGTCTCAGGTTCTCGGTGAGTAGATTCTGGCCGAGAAGCTGAGCTGCTGCTCTTATGCGCTTCTGGTCTTGAGGATGAGGATCCTTTTAAAAATTGAGGGTTCTTTTTCCTCTGTTTTTCATTTTTCCAAGAATTCTCCTCCCACTCTTCCAGCTCCCGGAAGGAAGGAAGCTTCCCACCATCATGGTCTAACTTCCTCCGCTGATGCCGGGTATGCGGAGGAGTTCGATCACGAGGTGGTGGCATATTTTGTGCCCTCATCGCCTCCATGAGTACTGCCAGCGCTCTTGCCACCTCTTCCGAGCTGGGCCCCGTCAAAGGGGTCCTCGGCCGAGTGTGGGAATGAGGGCGCGCAGCCGATGGTTGGCTTTGGGACACTGAATATGTCCTATGATCGGACTGACCCCTGCTAGACCGAGAGTGGACCGGCTTATATTGAGAGTCTTGAATTACGGGAGATAGGGAATCCTCCTTGTATGATCCTCCCTCCGAGCCGGCACCCTTGGGAGAGTTCCGGTCCGGCGAGGGCGATGGTGTAGGGGTTTTAGGCTTTTCGCCCGCTCCTTGACGGAGGCTTTTGCTCTTGCGGTTCCTAGCCATTGCTGCTAAGATAATTGCAGGATGATCTTGGTTAGGAATTTGGCTTAAAGATTTTTGAAAGTCTTCCCCACAGACGGCGCCAAATTGTTTCGGGTGAAAACAATGGGACCTTGCCGAAGGTCCGCTGAAATGGAGAAGACTGGATTCGGTCCAAGTTATGTTGGGCCGAAGGTTTCCTGCACAGTAAACACACGTAAACTAGCCTCGGGGGTGTTGCCGAGGAAGGCCCCTCCGATGCTAAAGTCAGTACAATGTGTAAGAAGAAGACACTATGCAAGAGAGCTTGTAGCTTGAGGCTTTTGTGGAATATCTCAGAATGTATGAATCTATGAATGAAATTAGAATATGAATATCTGAATATGAATGAGAATGTATCAATATGATGGCTTTATACCTCATCATACATGGAGAGGTTGGGCCTTAGCCCAATTGGCTTGCTTTGTGGGCTGACCTTTGACTTTAGCACAATTTGGAGAGTTGAACCCTGACCTTGGGCTTTTAATTGGATCATTTAGTGCTTAGGCCCAATTGGACTAAATTGGACCCAAACAATAACTAATGCCCCTTACATCTTTTATATGCTGTCTATTTCATGCTTAAAAATCTTAGGAATAATGTTTTACTACTTGTTTCAGCTCATCATTGTAGCTCTGTGTACGTGGGTGCACCCATCGTTGACGGTGGCATTACTGATAACAGCTGATCCTCCCATAGCAAAGCCTGGCTGCCAGGATATCTGTGGGAATGTAAGCATTCCATACCCATTTGGAATAGGGGATGATTGCTACCACAGCCTACCATACTCGCTTACTTGCAATACCTCTTTGTTGCACCCAAAACTTTTTCTGAATGAATTTAACCTTGAGGTTGAACAGATAAGTATTCATACTTTGGTTCAGAACACTATAACAGTAAAAACTCCGCTGCAGAAGACCTGCAGCATCCTAGATACAAATATAAGCAGCATCGATCTTAGGGTAACTCCTTATTTGTTTACGGCAGGGTACAATTCTCTTTTTGTTGGGGGTTGTGGGAGTAGCACCCTCTTGTTAGATAGAAGCAATAAGATCATAGGAGGGTGTGCAACAGTTTGTGATAAGAGCCCTATGATAACGAATGACTGCATTGGCCGTGGGTGTTGCAGCTTTAATCTTCCTGCTTCACTTGACTTCTACAGCATGAACATTTTCAACTTTGGTAATGGTACTAATGACTGCACAAACACCATGTTAATGAATAGAACCTCATCAATTATCAGCGAGGCTGTTGATCCAAGTCTCTCTAAGTTTGCAGTAGTCCCGACAGTACTGGAATGGACACCCGGAAACATAACAATGCCCGCTGATGACCCAAACAAAAATTGTCAAGGCCCTCCAGATAAGTATGATTGCTATTGCAATTATGGAACTTTTGGGAATCCTTATCTTCCATATGGGTGCCAAGGTAAGCATTAAAGATCCTTACTCTCTTATCTCTTATATACTACATCATTTCAGAAAAAATTAATCGCTGCCTAATTACAATTTCTGATTTAGTTCACTTTTCCTAATTTAATCAGTCCCTAAAGAATGCAAGGAATGTAAGCTAGGGTGCACCAAGCAAGGGAACCATTATCTCTGTGTCCGATGCAATGAAGATAAAGCTTATACAAGGTTGGTCCTTCTGGTTCTTCTTGGTGGTAAGTGTTTCATACTTATGTTCTACTGTTATTATGTTTCAAAAAAAAAAAAAAAAAAAAAGGTTCTACTGTTATTAATCAAGGAGTATCATTTAGACTACCATGAAAGACAAAATAAGGATTGCAACAGATAAATTAGTAGTGCTACATGCATTATTATCATTTTTTTTTTCTCTGTTTGAAACTTATGTTAAGCATATATGAATGTAAGACTGTGATGAGCCTTTTAAGTGCTTCATGCAGGTTCAATCATTGGCTTATCGTTGTGTACTGGAAACATAAGCTGCATATATCTTTGTATTAAGAAACGGAAGCATATGAAAATGAAAGAGAAATTCTTCCACCAAAATGGTGGTTTTTTGTTGAAACAACGGCTTTCTTTGAATCAAGGCAGCAATGATTCAACAAGAATATTTACTACTCACGAGTTGAGGGAAGCCACCAACAATTACAGCAAGCATAACATTCTTGGACGTGGTGGTTTTGGTACAGTGTATAAGGGGATTTTACCAAATGACCAAGCAGTTGCAGTTAAAAAATCCATGGTAAGTGATCAGAGTCAAGTCGAGCAGTTCATCAATGAGGTGGTAATCCTAACCCAGATTATCCACCGAAATGTGGTAAAACTCTTAGGATGTTGCTTGGAGACTGAAGTCCCTTTGTTGGTCTATGAATTTGTTTCCAATGGAACTCTTTTCGATCACATACACAATAATGGTGCACGTTGGCTTTCATGGGAAAACTGTCTGAAAATTTTAACTGAGGCTGCCAATGCAAATTCTTATCTGCACTCTGCAGCTTCAATGCCCATCATCCATAGAGATATCAAGTCTTCCAACATTCTCTTGGATGATAATTTCACAGCAAAAATAGCGGATTTTGGAGTTTCCAGGTTAGTCCCCATTGATCAATTTCAAGTTACCACCCTGGTGCAAGGAACTTTTGGGTATCTTGATCCAGAGTATTTTCTTACAAGTCATCTGTCTGAGAAGAGTGATGTCTACAGCTTTGGTGTAGTTCTTGTTGAACTATTAACAAAGAGAAAACCAGTTTCCTGGGAGACCGGACTGGAAGATAGAAACTTAGCAATGCATTTCATTAGTGCAATCAAGAACAATCAGTATTTTGATATCCTTGAGCCTCAACTCATGAAGGAAGCATCTCCTGAGGAGCTTATTACTATCGGAAATCTTGTAGCCCAATGCCTTAGTGTAAAAGGTGATGATCGGCCATCCATGAAGGAATTTGCAAGTGTGTTAGATGGATTATGTAAGCAGACACAGGATCATCAGCTTATTCAAGGCAACAATGAGATCCATGGCTTGTTAAGTGAACATCGGCTTTTTCAGCCCTCCATAGACCAGAATTCATCTTGTCAGTTGACTTTTGAGAAGGATATGATTATTGAGATATGCTCTCCTCGCTAGCTTGTAAAGTACATAGTATATCTTATATCCATAGTGTAAGTATACTTTGTTATTAGTCTTATGACTGCGAGTTGTATTGTTTCAAAACAGTATGCAGGGGTGCATCAACTGTCAGAAATTTTTATTGATTACAGACACTGAGATAAGTGCAAAATCACGTTTCCAGAGCAGAATGCATTTTTATATCTTTGGAGGTCAGATTATCGGTCTATCCTTAGTTGTTAAGATAACTGTTTTCGAGTTCTTAATATTTGTTTACAAGAACACTTCTTGCATGTAGCCGTTCTGCTTCATGTAGCTTGCTTTCTTTCTGTCTTCTGCTTTGAGTTGACTAGTTCTTCAGGAATTAGTAATGTTGTCTTACGTAAAGGGATTGCAATGCAAGTAATTATTACAAAAAAATTGTTATAACTAAATTTTATTTTCATAAAAACAACTGACTAGCTCCTAGTCTCTTTTAACTTAATTACTCAATTACAATAGTTAGTTGATTTCAAAACTGCTTAGCGCCTTTCCTTAATTACTACGGAGCAATTCATACTGATAAGTTGGATTCTTCTTTCAATCCCTAGCTATAATATTCTTATATCGGAGCTAAGCTTGAGTGTAGTCAGTAGAGAGATGAGAAAGGAAGAGTGAATGAGTGTTTTTGTTATTATTGTGTTAAACGAAAATAGTATAAACTTGAAGTATGTATACAACATATTTACAAGCTAATAACAAACTTCCTCAAACTAAGCAAACAATAAAACTAACTCAACAACTTGATCTAAACTATGAACTCCAACAAACTTGCGATTTAATAGGGGCATTTTTGCATTACAAGGACTTGTGATATGCAAATTTTCATCACACATTATTTTTTAAGATTCAGAGTTCATGAATATGTTATGAGCCAAGCAAATCATATTTTTTATGCTTGAAATCACACCTAACATCAAACTCCTCTTGCAATCTTAACTACATATATCTCATGCAAATGTGATTTTGACCTTTTACCAGGAATTTGGCAAGAGCCGTGTGTAGCTTTCAATCTGGCCAAACTCCCAAATTCCTGTCATTTGTACAGATGTACTGCTAGCTAACTGCTGTATGTATCTCAAGTGTTCTCCATGTGCTATCTTCTTTATGTAAGACAAAAGTGTAATTTTATATCAAAATGTATAGTAAAAACCATATCATACACGTGTACTTTACATTAGGAATTTCTCTCAAAAGGTAGACCTCTTAGTAATTATTTTCCTTACCTTAAAAATAAAAAATTATTATATCTACTAATGTATAGGTACGAAGTATAAAACTTTTGATTAGTAATTATAAAGGTATAACAAGCTCTAAAAGCTTGAACTAATCTTCCATGCCTTAAGGAGTCATAGTTATGTACACTTTTTAATTTAATTTTAAGATAATAAAGTTGTTGATATATGAAAATTTAAAGGCTAAATATAAGAATTTATTATCTTTTGTAAATTGATATTAATTTAGAAATATTTGACAAAATCATGTGTTAATTAATGTATATTCTTTAAGCTTGTCAATTGATGTTTTATTTCAATTTTTATTTTCACTTTTTCCATCAACACACAATTTATTTACGTAGTACTCCCTCCGTCCCATAATACTTGAGATATTAGGGTGGACACGTAGTTTAAGAAAAATACAAGTGAGTCCATTTAAAACATTTATTTATTATATAAATAATTTTCTTTTGTATTTTTATATTGCAAGAAAACAACAAGTAGGGGTGGGGTAGTGAAGAGAGAGAGAATGTAGGAACATTATTTTATTAATGGTAACGTGTCAAGTATTGTCAGATGGACAAAAATGAGAATTGTGTCAAGTATTATGAGACGAAGAAAATATATTATTTTTTTAAAACATAAATTCTTCTTTAAGATTAAGTTACAAAGGAGTGAACGACTTCCTTTAAAAAAAAAAAAAAAAAAAAAAGGATTGAGGGTTAATTGGTAATTTAGCGTTCTTCATTGAGTCACTCTCACAGTCTCACTCACTTCATTTCGCCACCAGTCCACCACCGCAACCTCTCTGAAATCCCGGCCAAATTCAAACTTTTTCGAGATTGATCGAATTTAGAGTCACTCGCTTTTGGTAAATAGTTCTTTTACTTTGTTTCACTGCTTAACTCTCCCTCCTCTTTCTTCTTGCAGCGTCAAAACTTTGAATAATTTTTTATTTTTTTTTTCTAATTTTGTGAATTTTAAACTGAAAGATTGATGAATAAATGATGAATTAATTGACAATTAAGGGTTTGGGTATATGATTTATGTATTGCATTTGGGCATTTCTTACAAACCAATAATTTATGATCTTATATAGTGATGGGAATGATTAAATTTGATTCATTTGTATTGGGTTGTCCAGCAGTCCAGGTATATTGATTTCAATTTTGTATATTTTAATCACAAATTGAAGTTTAATGTCTGCATTTTCAATGTTAATATCTGGCTTTGTTTAACTGAGTAAACGTATTTGAATCGCTGTACGTTTCTGGCTGTGTATTGATTAATATAAACATCTCTTTCATTGAAGCCAATTTCTTGATAAGGGTTTAACATCTATTTTTTCCTTCCATTTTAGAAAAACCTGTTGTAGATTTGGTGGGTTAAGACTTGATTGTTCGGCTGTTGGGGGGTTTGGTTTGCAATCAGTCTAATCACTGATGAGTTTTAAGATTAGTTTGCTTCTTTCATGGCACATCATATCCAGGAGGTGAGGCAGACGATGATAAGGGGGCGACAAATAGCTTTCCTTCAGTTGTGTATGGTGATGGTGTAACTGTGGAAGAGTGCCAAAAGATGTTTCAGAGAAGTTTCTGATGCAACATTTGGAAAAATTCTGGGTGTAACATTGGAGACAACTTTATTAAAAGCTGTTGATTGTAAGCAGAAAGTTAGTGGTGGTTATATACTTGGTGGAGGGGTAATGGTATTTAGCAATAATATGAACATGCAAGATGAGGTCGATCAAGTTCTGATCTATGAGCTCATTCATGCTTATGATGATTGTATTGCAAAAAAATTGAATTGGGCTAATTGTGCTCATCATGCTTGTAGTGAATCGTGCTGGCCATTTGAGTGGTGATTGTCACTTCAAATGAGAGCTAATTGCATGGCTATATGAAGCTCTGGGGTCATGAACAATATTGTGTGTAGAGGAGAGTGATGAAATCAGTGTCGGCCAATCCTTTCTGCTCAGAAACAGCTGCCAAGGATGCAAAGGAAGCTGAATGGGATACTTGTTACAATGATACATGACCCTTTGATAGAGCTCCTTGAGATATGCTAGCTTTTTCAGAAGTGGGTGATGTTGTAACACTTACAGCGGGTTACAGAAATTTGTTTACATAACTTTATCTATAATTATTGAAATACTATCTGATTGTTGCACTATTTTTAACTTTTTAGTAGATAGGCAGTTCATTACGAAAATGGTAGATTGTATTGGAATTGCCCAGATTGGTATGGACATGAATCAAAGAAATCTGAATTGGCTAAGCATGATTCTAATCTTTCATCTCTCTTAAAATCTGCTGCTGATGCTTCTTGCAGTCTAACCTCTTTTCTGACCAAAAGATTATGGCAGATGTGAAGGATAACAAAAGGAACCTGGAGCCAGTCATGATTTGTCTTTCCCCAATTCTCAAGTTGGAAATCAGGTGTAGTTATCCATTTTCGTGCTTGATGTGTGAACGTTATGTGTAGAGTTTTTAATGCTTCCTAAGTACATAGCTATTCTTGGCTCCCTGATTTATCTGTATATTGTTTGCGAATATGCGACATTTTGTAAAATTAACATCCTAGTGGCCTCCTGAACTGTGTGATATTTCACGGTCTTGTCTGAAATTCAGGTTTAAATTTAGAATTACAGACACTGATACACAGATACACTTACAGAACCTTTGGCTTTTCTGGGCTACTTTTTTCTATAAATATGTTTTAGATATTTGAATTATGCACAGTTCATTAATTTTGGCTGGTAAAATCATGTTGACCTATTACTAAAATTTACAGTTTTAGCTGAATTGAAAAGATTTGTGTCATATGATGTAGATTATGATGTCTTTCCGGAAGATTGTATATCAATTTGGTTTGGAAGATTTCATGACTTTTATGTTTTCTGATTATTTGATGGCGGCTGTATTTACTATTAAGAAGGTGATCCAGGTGGATAAATTTTCCATTTCTCAAATACAAAAGCAGTCTGGTCTCCTAGATTAAGTGTCATAGTCAATATTGTGGAGCTAGCTAATTATATATCCTAATTGTTTTGTAAGTGTAATTTTTTCTGGAAGTGGGCCAGGGAAGCTGAATTATTATCTTTATTAATTGACTACTAACGTCTTATAAATTTTGTTGATACGGAGTATTTTGTTTCTATGTTTTGCCCTTGAATTCTACAGGCCAGCTGCATTGCTGATACTAAAATTCACTAACACAGAATTTGCTTTAGGTGAATTGGGTGGTAAGCTAGCAACCATGGATATGATGCTTGCAACACTGGCAGTTGTCCTATGGCTATCAAGAGATATAGTAGCCGCAGCTCCACCAATGGCAAAACCTGGTTGTCCAGATAAGTGCGGAAATGTTACTATTCCGTATCCATTTGGTATTGGTTCAAGGTGCTATTACAATGAATGGTATGAAATTACATGTAACACTTCAAATCCAATTCTTACCAAAATCAATTTTCAGGTGCTAAAAATTTCCTTAACGTTGTCAGAAGTGACAATTAATTGGTTTAAGTTTTTGTTTTTTAATATTTTTTTAAAAACACTTATTGGTCGTGAGATGCAAACTTTCCCACTATACCAAGCTTTGCATAACTTTAGACCACCGGAATATGGTAGGATCAAAAGCTTCTATCCTACCACAATTGATCTTCTTTTCAGGACTTGAATTTTCCATTTTACAGTTATACTCATTCTAGTTTGATCCGATTTTAGACCGATGAACGATCCAGTAGTGAGACCACCAAAAAAAAAAAAAAAAAAACCTCTCTTCTTAATTTCTTATCACTCTACTAGGGTTTAATAAGAACTATGGAGTACATAACTTCTTAATTTCTTAATTTTGATAGAGCTTCTTGAGATATGCTAGCTTTTTCATAAGTGGGTAGAGTTGTAACACTTGCAGCAGGTTACATAAATTTGTTTACATAACTTTATCTATAACTTTTCTGCAAGAATGTATATCAGTTTGGTTTGGAAGTACTTCATGACTTAATGTTTTCTGATCATTCAATGGCAGTTTTATTAACTATTAATAGGTGATCCAGGTTGATGAATATTCCATCAGCAAGTGTATAAACAGTTTGGTCTCCTATATCAAGTATTCTAGCTAGTCAATAATCAATACTATTCAGCTAGCTTATTACTTCCTAATTGGTTTCTAAGTGTATTTTGTCAGGAAGTGGGCCAGGGAAGCTGAATTATTAGCTTTAATGATTGACTATTCACATCTTGTAAATTTTGTTGATATTTTGGTTCAATGTCTTGCCTTGAGTCCTAAAGGCCTGCTGCATTGCTAATACAAAAAATCACAAACATAGATCGAATTTGCTATAGGTGAATTGGGTACGTAGTAAGGTGGCAACCATGGATATGATGCTTGCAACACTGGCACTTGTCCTATGGCTATCAAGAGATATAGTCGATGCAGCTCCACCAATGGCAAAACCTGGTTGTCCAGATAAGTGCGGAAATGTTACTATTCCATATCCATTTGGTATTGGTTCAAGGTGCTATTACAATGAATGGTATGAAATTACATGTAACACTTCAAATCCAATGCTCACCAAATTCAGTCTTCAGGTGCTTAAAATTTCCTTAAGTTCATCACAAGTGATAATCAATGCTCCAACCGTTGCTAACTGTACTGCACGAGATACAACATGGACAAGTGCTAATTTGGGTGGAAGCCCGTATAGTTTCTCCTCCATTTACAATGATTTTGCTCCTGTTAATTGTGTAGGGACTTCTTATATCAATGGTGGGGAAAATGTAGCGGCTCATTGTGGATCAGTTTGTAATAGTCAAATTAGGGACAATACAACATCCCAGGAATCGATTTGCCTATCTGGTCTCCCCTATCCTCTAACTATTTACAGTGTGAACATCACCCGAACAAATGGGACTTGCAGCTATGTCTTATTAGCAAACCGTGATTTCTTGAATAATCTTGAATCGTCTAACCCTCAGCAATCACTTTTGTCCCTAGTCAGCAATGGAAGTCATGTACCGGTTAATCTTGATTGGAAATATTTTTATTTACCTAATCAATTCTTAAATGAGTCCAGTTCTGGCAATTGTAACATGCATCAAGCTAATGGTGTTTACACATGTAAATGCCCGCAAAGACAAGGTGGTAATCCTTATCTTCCTAATGGATGCCAAGGTAAGTTTGACTAACCAACTTCCTCCCCCCCCCCAAACCACCACCACCCTAAAATTGAAGGTTTTTTTTATGGAACCATACCTTTTTTTTTTTTTTTTTTTTTTTTGGCAGAGTCGCCACGTTGTGCAAGCTGCAAAGGTGATTGTTACGTCATTTCTGATGATTATATGGATGTTGGGTGTTATATTCCTAAAAAGAGCAGGGCGCACCTTCTGGGAGTTGTTCTAGGTAACATTTGGACTTCATTGTTCACATGGCATTATCTCATTTAGTTCATTATCATAAGCAATTACTTTGAATATTTATAACGCTATGTCAGATGACAAGGTACGAAGGTTAAGGCTTAAGGAAATTGTTGAACCTCAAATTTAATACTAGTATTAGATACATATGACAGAATTAATAAACAAATAGAAAGGTGTATCATTGCTCATAAATGAGTTTATGATAAGAAAATAGATGCTTATGCAGAACGTTTTGTTTGCAGGATTGAGTATTGGCATAGGATCATTATTGGCGTCTCTAGGTTGCTATTGGTTGTGGCAGATTTTGAAGAGAAGGAAGAAGATAAAACTAAGAGCTAAGAACTTCAAACAAAATGGTGGTTTGCTGTTACAAAGACAAATGTGCTACAATGATTGTGTTGTGGAGAAAACAAAAGTTTTTACTGTCAGCGAATTAAAGGTAGCCACAGATAATTTCAATGAGAACAGAATACTTGGGCAGGGTGGCCAAGGTACAGTTTACAAAGGTATGCTGACGGATGGAAGGGTTATAGCAGTTAAGAAATCCAAAAAAGTTGATGAAAGCCAATTAGAGCCTTTCATAAACGAGGTAGTTATCCTCTCTCAAATTAACCACAGAAATGTGGTTAAACTTCTAGGGTGCTGTTTGGAAACCGAAGTACCTCTTCTTGTTTACGAGTTCATCCCAAATGGAACACTCTCTCAGCATATCCATAACCCAAGTGAAGAGTTTCATGTTCCTTGGAAAATGCGCTTGCAAATTGCTGCAGAATCAGCAGGTGCAATCGCATACCTTCATTCATCATCGTCTACTCCTATCTACCACAGAGATATCAAGTCTTCAAATATACTTTTGGATGACAAATACAGAGCAAAGGTTTCCGATTTTGGCACTTCAAGGACTATACTGATCGATCAGACTCACTTGACTACTCAAGTTCAAGGGACATTTGGATATTTGGATCCAGAGTACTTCCAATCCAACCAATTCACTGAAAAAAGTGATGTTTATAGTTTTGGAGTAGTCCTTGTTGAGCTATTGACAAGCAAGAAGCCAATCTCTCCTGATAAGTCTAAAGAATGGAGAAGTCTGGCCACGGAGTTTCTTCTTTTGGCGGGGAATTCTCGTTTGTCTGATATCCTTGATCCTCAGGTCTCAAAGGAGGCTAAGCAGGAGGAGCTAGAGGCTGTGGCTAACCTGGCTAAAGAATGCTTGAACTTGAACGGAAAGCAAAGGCCTACTATGAAAGAAGTTGCTATAGTACTCGAGGGGCTGCAATCGCGAAATGAAACTTCTTCAATACAGCAGACGTTCCCTGAATGGAACCAAGCGGTTGCTGATATAAGTGTGATGGACACAGCCCCCTTCACCTCAAGCACATTTTCTTCACAGGAAGAATATGCATTGATTCTTCACATATGAGCATTGTACCATGTACGCCAATCTTTTTGAATCTTATGGAAATTCAGGTTGAAGTTAATTATAGGTTTAGTTATGTTAAACTAAGTCGTTTCTATGAGGCAATGTAACTCTTATATATTTATTTATAATTTAACTACATTGCAATACTTGGTTTAGCCTTGTAAAGTGCAAAGCACACCATACCATTTTGGCATTATCGTAAATAAGTGGAAAAAATAGGGTTAAATCAATAATCCCACCTCAATTAACAAACCAACATCACAAAACCCAACAACTCATTTCTCCTGCAAATCATTCCCCAAAATTCTTTCTAAAATTCTCAAAACATCTAACAATTGCACAAGTGGCGGAGCATTCTCCTAAAAACCTCAAAGCACAACGACAAATTGCATAATCAAATTTGTCGTCATTTTCGATAAATAATGAAGGAGCAATTTGATTTATTCATCAATTTCGATGTATGATGCTCTTGACATGCAATGTACAATGAAATGTTTAACTAAATTTGATCATTTAATGAGCAAAATAAGATTATATGGAAATCATTCAAAAATTTGCTCATTTTACCGTAGTGGGCAAAATTTATGAATCAATATAAACTAAGTTCTTTAAAATTTTTGGCTGGTTGTGTTAAGCGTCACCGGTTATTATATTTTCTGTTTTACCTTTTTGTTCACAGTTGTTGGTTTTGTTTTTCCTTTTATTTGTTAGCTCTTTTGTCAAAAAAAAAAAAAAAAAAAAAAAAACTAAAAAGAAAGAACTTCCTTAAAATTTGCTCATTAGGTGACGTTTTTTTTAAAATTTGTTCATCATATGAAAGTTAGTATGATAAAGTATATGAAAGTCAGTTTACTTAGACTTTCAAAATTTTGTATGGAAGTCAAATTGCTCTTGATCAAACTACATAAAAGTTCATTTTCATCTATAGTTTATAATTTGCTCAATTTATAAAGCGAGCAATTTTCATGGGTATGTTTTGATCTCTTCACTTTTGCAAGACATGATATAAGCTTTGTAAACAGTACAGTCCCAAACCCGCCGTTATTTAGAGTCAAATGAGAGACCCTTTGTAGCAAACTTAAACACTTCACAATTAAAATCTCTAGAAATATGGTGGTAAAAAGGTTGGATCTTTATATGGGAAGAAAGTGGGTTGGATTAGTGGCGGATTCAGAAAAAAAATATTTAAGAAGGTCAAAATACATTTGATAAATTAAAATGGGGTCAAGTGAGTAATTTTTATGGGAAAAAAACATAGTTTTATATATATTTTTTTTTTTCATAAAATCCTATAAAATTAAAATGGGGCCAAGTGGAGTCTGCATCCGCCACTAGGGCAAATTAAATGATGGTAAATGGGTCTGCAAGGTACAACATACTTTTCTTCAAAAAAAAAGTACAACATACTTTACTATAGAAGTTGTTATAAATTGGGTTAATATAATTTTTTTTTTTTTATCTGGAATCTTTTTCACGGTATCAATTTAGAAAAATTAACTAGAATAATCCAAATTGCATTTATGTTGGGATGTACTACTGCATAATCTAACTTGGGAGATACGTACTATAACACTTAGTCCACTTGTACAAAATCAACATTTACATAGTACATTTCAGATAAGATAAGTTCATGAAAATAAAATAAAATAATTTGGGTAAGGCTATTCAAGTTCAAATTACAACTAAAATAACTTTTGATAAATTCAGATTAGTCAGGTGAATAAAACACTGGTTGAAAATAAACCAAAATAGTGTATAACAATACGTTGGAAATAAATTTCTAAAGCAAATTCGGTCAACTTTTATATATCACATTCGGAATATGGTTGGATCAAAAATTACCATCCCACAATCAATCTTCTTTTCGAGATTAGAATTTTCCATTTTACAATTCTATGTCGCTTTTCCTAATTTGATCCGATTTTAGACCAATAAACAGAACTCGAAAAAAATGCTACTCACTCTAGTACTCTTCTTTCTTTAGTTCTTAGCACTCTACTAGGGTTTAAGAACTATTCACTTTTCACAAACTCTCTACTTCCCTTGTTCCCCATTTCCAATTCTCTTCCCTTCCACCACAACAACCACCGCCATGCCTCTCTACCGCCTCCTCCTCCGCTCCCTCCGCCGCACTTCTCTCTCCTCCGCCGCCGCCACCACCATCACACCACCCTCCTCTTTCCCCCACCTCCACCCTCACCCTTCATTCTCTCTCCTCCACACTCGCAGCCTCGCCTTCTCCTCCGCCGAAGAAGCCGCTGCCGAACGCCGCCGCCGCAAACGCCGCCTCCGCATCGAACCCCCTCTCCACGCCCTCCGCCGCGACCCCAACTCCCCTCGCCCTCCCCCTGAACCCAACGCCCGCCCTCTCCCCGACACCACCTCTGCTCTCACCGGGCCCCGCCTCAACCTCCATAACCGTGTTCAATCCCTCATTCGTGCTGGTGACCTCGATAACGCCGCTCTTCTTGCTCGACAAGCAGTGTTCTCTCGCACTCGTCCTACTGTATTCACTTGTAACGCCATTATTGCTGCTATGTATAGAGCTCAGAGGTACGATGAAGCTGTCTCTCTCTTCCAATTCTTCTTTAAGCAGTCTAATATTGTACCCAACATTGTTTCTTACAATTTTTTGATTGTTAGTCATTGTGAGTGTAAAAGGGTTGATGTGGGTCTTGAGATTTATAAGTCAATTTTAGCTGAGGCACCGTTTAGTCCTTCTTCTGTTACTTTTAGGCATTTGACTAAGGGGTTAATTGATGTTGGGAGGATTGGGGAAGCTGTTGATCTTCTTAGGGAGATGCTTAATAAGGGGCTCGGGGCCGATTCGCTTGTTTATAATAATTTGATTAAAGGGTTTTTGGATTTGGATGATTTTGATAAGGCCAATGAGTTTTTCGATGAGCTTAAGGAGAGGTGTCTTGTGTATGATGGTGTTGTGAATGCTACGTTTATGGAGTGGTTCTTTAATAAGGGAAGAGAGAAGGAGGCTATGGAATCGTATCGGTCATTGCTTGATCTTCAGTTTAAGATGACCCCTGCCACTTGTAATGTGCTTCTTGAGGTGTTGCTTAAGTATGCGAAGAAGAAAGAGGCGTGGGAGTTGTTTGAATCGATGTTAGATAGACATACTCCACCGAATTTTCAGGCAGTGAATTCGGATAGTTTTAATATAGTGGTGAATGAGTGTTTTAAGGAGGGGAAGTTTGAAGAGGCTGTTAGCACTTTTAAGAAGGTAGGCACCAAGATGGGGTCAAGGCAGTTTGCTATGGATGTAGCTGGTTATAACAATATTATTGTTAGGTTTGCTGAACATGGGATGATTCAGAAGGCGGAGGAGTTCTTTACGGAGCTAAAGTCGAAATCTTTGAGCCCGGATGTTACTGGTTATAGAACCCTGATTGATACTTATCTTAAGGATCAAAGGATTGATGATGCCATGCGAATGTTTGAGATGATGGTTGAAGCTAATTTAAGAGTGATTACAGCCTATGCCAATAGGTGGTTTACTGAATTGATTCAGAATAATAAAGCACTAGAATGTTCACAAGTCTTGACAAAAATGGGGGAAAGGGATCCAAAACCTGATTCATCCACGTATGAAATTGTCATCAAAGGGCTGTGTGGTGGTGGTGTATTTGATGTGTGTTTGAATATGGTTGGTCAGATCATGAAGTATGGTGTTGGTGTCACTCCTTCACTTCGCGAGTTTCTGTTACAAGTGTTTGAAAAGGAGGGACGGAGAGATGAGATTGAAAGGATCCTGGATGAGAGGAGGCAGGGAAATTTTCAGCAATCTTACTCTCAGCCTTCAGGTTTTGCTAGACCTGCAGGACCAGGACAACATCAACAACCTGTTGGTCCTCCTAGGTTTAGGCCACCAACTGGATTTTCTGGGTCTGCTGGACCTACAAGGTATTCGGGACATCCTGAACCAACCGGACCTCTGTATCAAAGAGGATATCCTGAACATACCGGACCTCAGCAGCAAAGAGGATATCCTGAACCTACTGGACCTCCACAGCAAAGAGGACACTCTGAGCAAAGCTACCCTTTTATTGGTAGTAGATGATTGTTGGTTGAGTTTGTCAAGTACTCAAGGATAGAGTAACAACAGTAATTTGGATAGCTTTGAATCCAATGTCTAATCTTGGCCTTCAATTATTGAGAATTGTTTTGATGATAAATGTCCATGAATATTTTTTTTTTTTTGCGGGAAACTGCCAAGAAGATATTTTACAGTTGAATGGTACAATCGATACAAGGATATGTTACAGGTGCTATATACTGTCTTCAATGTTTTCTTATTTTCCCTTTCCTATTACTTTTCCTTTAATTATACATTGCCTAATGCCTCTGAGACTGAAAATGCTGGAGTTGAAACTTGTACCTCCTTTTATACTATGTTCTTGATTGATTGTGAATTGATTGACTCATTTTAAATATGAGCTGAAGCAATATGCAAAACACCCTTAGAAGATGTTAAGAGGCATGATACATTTTTAGTAAATACGAAGTATTGATTTAAGTCATCAATAACACACTTTTTGGGCATAAAAAAAAACCCTTAAATAAGCTCATATATATATATATATTGTTGTATAGTTGTATTGTATGATACTTGTTTACATTATGATATACAGTATGCCACTGTGCAAAATTTAAACAGAGCAAATAATTGATGACTGATAGTAAAAGAGGGAAGATAAAAAAAAAAAAAAAAAGGCACTATGCCACTCTAAAACTGTAGGAAATAATTTTTCAACTCATTTCTTTGAAAACAGAAAAGTAAAAAAAAAAAAAGAAAAAAAGAAAAGAAAAGAGAGAGAAAGAAAAAGAAAAAAAAAAAAAGAAGAAAAGAACATTTAGAGTTTGCAGATTCAAAAGAAGGGGGAACTTTAGAGGCACCATGAATGCCCTGAGTACTCTTTGGTTATGAGAGAAAAAGGGTTGGTAACTTGGTAAGTGGAATTGAGAGGAATCTGATTCTGAGACTGAGGGTGCAAAGATGACAAAGCTGGCAACCATTGCATCTCATCCCTATTTCTCGTCATTGGCGGCATGATGTCTCACCTTACCATGTATGCATACACCCACCTTTGGCCTTGATGTTACCATGTTGCTGCTGACCAGCTCTGTAAGTCTCTCTTCTTTTATCATTTTTATGTTCAAATATTCACTCATGAGTTCAGGGTGTTGAAGTTCTTTATCAATCTGCATGTAAATTTGCTAAAATTACTACTTCCTCCGTTCCCCTAATATTGCAACAATTACCATTTTAGAAAGTTTCACAAATATTGCAACATTACTATATATATGCACATGCTCTCTCTTTCTCTCTCTCTCTCCTCATCACATGGGTCCCTATCTTTATTATTCTCATCTTAAATTCCCCTTGTTGGAGTATTAGGGCAGCAGAGGAGGTATAAAGGATAAACTTTAGATTTAGCCGAAGGGTCATGAGCTCCTGACTCTGCTATTTGTACCAGGTGTATTTCGTATCCCAAACCCGTGATACCACCATTGTTGGAATTGACTGTTTTGGTTCTTCATTCTTGTCTCAATGAGTGATTGTATTGTCAGTATATGTTATGTTTTAATTGATTGGCTAAGTTTCAGAGGGAGCTTATTTCATGATATGTATTTTCCCATGTGGCTTAAGAAGAATAGGTAATTCGAGTAAAGGTAAATCCAACCCTAAGGTTGTGTTGGTTTAACTTCTTTGATCTGAAATTATCTTATGAGAACTTATTTTATTTGAACTTTTTTTTTGTGTGGAAAAAAACTTCTTTTGTCTGAAATTGTTTTATTTGTGTGTGATTTTGTCTCAATTTATTTAAGTATTTTTCCTAAACCTATTTTAGCTAGACTTATTTGAATTTATCTGAACTTATTTTTAACTTATCTAAAATATTTATCTGTAATAAGTCAGAATAAGTTAAGATAAGATGAAACAAACTAACAAACCTTAATCTATCTATAATCTTGTAAAGTTGTAGCAGTGAAAAAGCTCCAAACTACTGCTCATAATGAACAGTAAAATGACCCTGACTGCCCCTCATCCCGAAACGTGGTCCTCAGTGGGATTATGCTTTTGTCCCTTTAGCTGTTTAGCATGCTACTTGCTTCCCTTCTTTTCCTTTCATTTTCCCCTCGTTTCTACAGTTTCATGGCTCCCTCTCAAACACAATTCTTCTCTATCCTCACTCTAGAAAGTCCCAATTTTGTATAATAGCTGGGCTCTCTCAAAGTTTCTTAGTATTCTGTATTACGATGTACCTTCATCAAAGCGTACTATGAGTTCTCCAGTAAAGCGGCTTCTGAGCTTTGTCTCCTCCATTAGACCAGGTTCTGAGGTAATATGTTTTTTATTACTCATCGAATTCGAATCAATTTCCCTTGGGTTTAGTGACTTTAGTCTCACAGTTTCGTTAGTTTAATTCAGTATGGTCAATGTAGGGCTCTTCTAAGGTGGATCATAGAACAATTGGTTGTAATTATTGGCGCCATGAAAGATTTTAACGAGCTATTTTGTTGCTGTGATTTTGATTAGTTAAAATATCTTACCAATTTTGGCAACGGGTTTTATTTAGTGCAATTAGATGATGAGGCGGTAAAACACCAGCTTTGGTTGGCAATACTGGTGAATTTAACAAATTTTTTCCAGGTTTATGCATTTCTTTTTTTTTGAAATATATGTTTCGGTCAGATTTTTGTGGGTATGGTGTTATGTTGGGTTGATTTGTTTTAAATTTTCAGTTTTCTGCGGGAGTTCTGTTTTTTCTTTGATCATCAAACAAAATTGCACTTTCTAACTATAATCAAAATACTTTAATTCAATTAGTGTTGCTATTAATTTTAATAAATAAATTTTACTACCCTGGGCTATCCTACGCCGCAACTAGTATGTAATATGAACTACTCCGTATGTTAGCAACTACGACCAATAATTTAATCAAGAATCCAAACCAAAGTTTGGGACTTTGGGTTTGAAATTTTAGATTAGTACTGACTAGCTGACTTGCCTAAATCCTGTTCACATGTATATCCACTGGGAACTACTTGTGTAATTAGAACAATGTTGTTGAAAGTGTTTGAGTGGTTCTAGTTGTATCTTTTTATAGATAAAAAGGCAATCTGTTCATCTGTACCTCTAGAAGAAATAAGTCTGACATCATGGTTTCTTTTCCATTCCATACAGAGAACTCTCAATTATTTCTTATTGTATAGTGGATTCTCGATTCTTACAGAAAGCTAGTTGCTGTTGCAGGATGCAAACCTTTCAGAATTCTGACAAGAAGAGATTTCTTACTTTGAAAGAAGTTTCAGCAGTGACAGAAACTTTTTTCTTGAGTATAGCAGCAACATTTTGAAAACTGAGCAGTATATGACTGAAACAAGTTCAAATATTTATGGTAGCTCTGCTAGTCTAGCATGCCTTATTGGGAAACCACCTTTCTATCCAGCTGGATTGTCTCTATTGTTTGGAACAAGATGACAAAGGGAGAAATTGAAGGCTTAGTTTTGAGTTTTTGACATTTCCAGGTAATATAGTGAAGGTATGCATTTATTTTTCTACTTTGCTTATGCACCTTTTTCAATCAGCAGCTCAAAACTTTCAAGTTCAGTTTATCTGGTCTGTCTTGATTTTATTCTTCTTTTAGAATGTCAAGTTCTGCTGAAGTGCCTTTCTTGTTTAACGCCTATCCTAGATGATGCATCATCGTACAACTTGGTAAACATGTCGATGCTTGTACTTGAAGATTATTCTATGCAATTTTATTCCTCACTATGTTTATGAAATTGCTATTTTTAGGAGATGAGATGTTAATATTAAAATATACTTAAAGTTTTCTTTATCTCTTATTTTACCCTCAAATCCTCAAATCTTGTTCATTGGAAACCCTTGTGTTTAGAATTTCCTTTTATTTACAGATCTATCTTCATTCTTATCTATACTTTAGTCTATAATAACACAAACCACATATGACATGTGTCACCCTTCCCTTTCTGTGTCCAAATAAGTTTCCCATTCTCATAACATGTTTGTCATCAAATAAAGCTTCTATTTCTCATATTGAGTTGGGTCTGAATAATTAAAAAAAACCTTAAACAACCCACTAATTTTTATTTTTATTAACTGTTATTATTTATTAAACAAATCCCAAATTTTTATCATCAGATATTAATTAAATAATATTAACCTATATGCACTAACTTCATATATTATTCACCTTTAATCAGCAAAACCCTATTACAATTTCTCTCCTGAGGTTGCTTTGATGCACAACTTCTGGCTATTTCTTTCCATATGAGAATAGCTGTTAGCTATTGAGACTGGTTTAGTCTCCTCAGATAGGTCTCATCTAAAGTGCTAGAAAATTAAGCCTTTTAAGTTAATGTGTATCAAATTATCAATTTTGTAGTTGGAAGAACTGAAAGCTGCAAAGGAGATGGCTATCTCAAGATTGTCAGTCCTGCATTTTACATAGCTAATCTGCTGACAAAGCTTGGAGCCTTGGACATTACGGGTCTTTTTTGTCACATTATTTTCACTTATTTCAGATAAGTTCAGTTAAGAAAAAATAAGTTCTGATAAGGGTTACCCAAGTACAAATACAACCAAAATAATTTTTAATAAGGTCTAATAAGTTCAAATAAGTTCAGATAAGATCAGATAGGTTAAGATAAGTGAAAATCAGGTGAATAGAACACACCCTACTACTGGTTGTTATTTAAGGTAAGGTAATTATGTACTATTTAGTTGTTTTGTGTTATCCATCTGCTACCAGATGTATGAACAAGTAAAAGTTGTGCAACTCACAGAAATGACCAATGAATTTTTAATCATTAAGTTGTGCTATTATTGCTAGACATCTATTCCGGATTTCCTTAATACCTTGTCTTTTTTCCTTTAATCTGGAACGAATGCTCCTTTTACTTCCTTCATCTCCTCTATGCTTTCCTTTTTTCTTGGTTTGACAAATATCTTTAGTTCTTTATAATTTTATATTGAAGAATTGTCAAAATGTTTTGTGATATGACTGCTGTTTTTTTCTTTATCTTTGTACTCAGATATTGGCACTAATTGTGATCCGGTTAACATTGGAAATTATTGTTGTTTTTAAGATCAGAACTCAGAAGACAATATGAGATTGATTCAAATCCTGTCAACATGCACGAGAGTCATTATGTTCTTAATAAGATGTGCCATTGTTTATTTTTTTGACATTGGTTAATAGCTTACCTTTTGAGCATTGGAATTCTTGTTTTTTTTTTTCCCCGATGCAAACTTGGTAATTAGTCGATGACTAATTTGATGTTTGCTAATATGGATTTTGATGATGAACTTCATGCTTTGTTTATTTATCTATTTATTTATTTTGAATGGTCATCTCTACCTAGTAAACGAGAGATTGCTGTAGCTTCCATTAGCAGCTTTCATGGAAAGTAAAAGTTGAAACTTCATGATGTTAGCCATGTGGATTTGAATGGAATCGTTTGTTGAAAAAAGTTTGAAAATCATTGATTGGAGCCTATATCACTTAGGGTAGATACATAATTTAAGAACAAGTTAAGATCATACAGGAATAGGGCAAATGAAATGATGAGGATAGTTAAACAAAGAGCCAAATAGAGGTAGTGTCACTACTTACTAGTGTGTTGGGAGTTGGGATTTTGGCAAGAAGGAACATTACATGTGGGAATGTCTTAACTACTTTTTTGGAATATTTGTATGAGGATTCGATTTGATGCTGATGGTCTTGTTGAATCATAGGCTATAGAGCTTCATTTAATTCTTCACTGTAAGCGATATTATTGAGGTGTTATTTCAGAACTTTGAGTCTAGAAAACCAAGAAAGAATTTACATTTTGACGATAAGTTGTTCTTGTCTAGGAGAAGGGTGATGAGAGTACCAAGATGGCTTATTGGAGTTTAATCATGTCTAAGTCTACCCGTCTATGTATCAATCAATCAATCAAAGCCTTAATCCCATAAGTGGGGTCGGCTAACATGAACCAAATTTGATTATTCCGTGTAGTCATCGACATAAATCTTCTTCCTCCATCCCTTACGATCCAATGCTTCATCCTCATGCACATCCATACACTTCATATCCTTCCTAACTCCTTCCAACCAAGTCATTTTCGGTCTCCTTCTCCCTCGGTTAACCCCTCCATGGTCCCACTCTTCCACTCTTCGCACCGGTGCACCCTCAGGTCTTTGTCTTACATGCCCAAACCAACGCAGGCGATTTTCCCTTAGTCTATCTGCAATGCCTGCCACACTTACTTTCTTGCGAATAACCTCATTTTTGATTCTATCTCTTAGAGTGTTCCCACACATCTACCTTAACATGCGCATTTCTGCAACCTCCATCTTTTTAATGTGACTCTATTCGATAAGGTCAACCACAAGGTTGTGTTTAAGGATATATTCTGGGCATTCTAATAAAGTAGTCTATGGTTATGGTTTACGAGGTGAGAAAGGAATGCTTACACTATTGCAATCTTCAGTGTCAGTGGATGTGGTGATATTATGATTGGCTGTGGTGTATGAGTATGGGTAGTGGTGGTTATGGACCTTATGGTAGTACTAGGAATTTGTATGGTGGCGTTGGAAGGTAATGAGGTCGAACACTGGTTTTTCCTTTTCTTTTTCTTTTATTTTTTTCAAAAAAAAGGTTCATTAGAGTCCCATCTAGGAGTTAGTTTAAATATTCCTCAAACCAGTGGCTATCAATCAATCAAAGCCTTAATCCCATAAGTGGGGTTGGCAAACCAGTGGCTATGCAGATTATTTTTTTTACTTTGGCACACAGTTTTTGATGTCAAATTAAGTGTTTGAGAGAAAGTGATTATTGGCCATTTAACTGTCATATTAATTTAGTTTGGTTGTAAGATGCTGTAAAATTATGGGCCCAGACGTCAAGAAATCTTTTGATATTGTTTAGATTGAAGCTTTTGGTGTTTTCTTAGTTATATGAGGAAACGATCTTTTCTTCTGCTTTCCTCGAATGTGGTAGTCGGTATGTACTGCATACTTTATTGTCAGTATAAGTTCTTTGTTTCTATTGAATGGAAATTTAATTAACAGCTTTATATAACTAAAATTTACAGTTTTAAATATCTAAAAAACTACTTATTAACTTGAATTTGTAGTCTGATCATTGATATATTTTTCTTGTGTATACTTGAAATTAATAATTGGCTGGAGCAGGTTAATTTTTATAAGAGGTGTTAATATTTTGGGCATGTTTAATGCTAGAAACTGGCAGATGTAGGGGAAGGGAGACCAAGATCTGTAGTTGGTAGTTCCTATTGCATTAATCTACAGTATGTAATTTTCAGTAATTTTTGGTTTGTAAAAAAATAAAAAAAAGGACAGGAGATTAAGCGAAGATTTAAAAAAAAAAAGTTTCAAGTGGAGTGTTACATGATTGGTCAAGGAGGTCATGGTACTGGACTACTGTCTACAAATGTGTATTGGCAGATGGAAGAGTTGCAGCAGTTAAAATGTCAAAGAAAGTTGACCACCAACTGGTGATCTTCACAGGCAAGGTGGCTATTCTATCTCAATTCAATCATAGGAATGTGGTTAAACTGATTGGATGTTAAATGGAGACTGAAATACCGCTACTTGTTTTTTTTTGGAGTTCATCCCAAAAGGATCATTTGCTCATCATATACACAGTGACATTGAATTGTTTTCATTTCATGGAAAGCACAATTTGCTGCAGAATTTATAGGAGCTATTGCATACCTTCATTCATTCTCATTTACCTCTATTTATCATTCAGATATCAAGTCCTTTAATATTCTCTGCTTAATGAAAAAGTGATGCTTATAGCTTTGCTGTAGTTCTTATTGACTTCTGGACGAGCAAGAAGCCACTTGATGCTGATGAAAACACAAGTTTGGTGAAATTTTATTTTTTGGAGAACTTTTTTTATTCAATAATGTGCTTTAATTTTCTCAATTCTTTATTCTTTATGTAGTGAATTAATTTTCTGGTCTTTGAATTAGTGATACAGACCTCAAGTTTCTGATACTTCGTAATTTAGTCATTTTAGTGACAGACTTGGTGACTTATCAACTCAAAATTAAACATGCAAAATAAAAATGTATTTGAGTATGCACAGATACAACTATACAAGTATTGAAGTAGATAAGAAAAATGATTATGAGAAAAAGCAAGTAATTTAGTAATAGGCGAAGACAGGCTGAAAAGGGATCTGGTATGGTTATTGCTTGAAGAGGAGCAGCTTGTCTGGTGGCGGCTGAGGTGGTGGTATGGTGGGGTACGAGTCTACAGAAGGGGCAGGTAGGTTGTTGTATGGCTACGGGTGGTAGTAGTGGGCTAGTGGGAGGGGTAGGAGAGAGACAATGGAAGAATAGTATGGACAATTGAATAGAGTGAAATTCTACCTGTTTAACAAGTAGTGTTTGAAACCAATATGGAAATTTGGGACGAAGACCCTAAAATTTGGGTTAATTAAAAATTAGGTCAAACTTGGTACTTCTTCTGAGAACAAGTGGAAAAATGGTAAAGTACTCTGTATACTGGAACAATGGGATTAGTGTTATTAAAAGATTAAGAACGATGAGTCGGTGACTGTCTGGTAGTTTCCTTACTCTTGCCTATGACTACAATGATTCCTTTGTAGTCCTTTAGGTGTTCATTTTTGACCAGAAGGATATAAAATAATGACTACATGCAGAATAAAATACTGAGCACTTGGCAAATTGCACTAAAAAAAAATAGCGAAGTAAAAGTAGTGATAGTTTGGAGTAAATATGATACTTTGGATACATTTTGCATTTATTTTGTACATCCCTTGCAAGCTTTGTGTACTGAATTATACTTTCACAAACATGCTTCCACCATGGCCTCTGCTCTCTTTCTTGTTTATAATGTCTACCACAATCACCACAAATACTTCTGTAGCACCAGCCAATATGCTTACTGCTGTAAATATCAACAAACCTGGTTGCCCACGGAAATGTGGTAACTTAACGGTCCCTTACCCATTTGGTTTTGGTACGGGAACAGGGAGAAGTTTATGCTCTCTGGGTTTTTGGTTTGACATAAAGTGCGACACCTCCTACAGCCCCCCAAAAGCGTTCTTTATGATGGGTTCAGGTGATACTCAACCTGAAATCTTATATATCTCAGAGACACAAATGATGCTCCGGAATTTTCAGATAGCTTCAAGGTGTTATGATGCCAAGGGGAAGGTAATCTCTGACACACCGTCTTCTTATGATCTTATTGGTTCTCCCTTTACTTTCTCATACACTGGAAACAAACTCACAGTCATTGGCTGTGATGATTACGCATTGATCACCTATTCTGCTGGGACTGTCTCAGAGGGCTATAAATACGATTACAATGTTGGTTGCCTTGCCTTATGTTCTAACCCAAATGAGGTGATTCATGGCTCTTGTTCAGGAATTGGTTGTTGTCAAACTTCTATCCCTAACGGTTTGCAATCTTTCATGATTACTCTTTCAAGCTTGAATAATCACAGCAGTTCAGGAGTCTCATCATTTCAGCCTTGTGGTTATGCATTTCTTGCTGGGAATGACAGCTTTAGATTTTCTGGGGCAGCAGATCTCTCTGGCAAAGTAGTGGTAAACAGGACAACTAATGAAGTTCCTATGGTGCTTGATTGGTCTGTTGGAGATTTTAACTCAATTTCTGGAAATAGGGCTTCATGTAATGAAGCAAAGAAAAATTTAACCACTTATGCTTGTCAAACAAATACTCACTGTGTTGATTTTGGCGGAGGAGGATATCATTGTCAGTGTCTCTCAGGTTATGAAGGAAATCCTTATCTCAAACCAGGGTGCACGGGTCAGTTTTCAGGGTTCTGTGCTGCTGTCATTTCTTTTATTAAGTAGATCTCTTTTTTCAAGCATAGCATTTGATTCTTCATTGTACTCTTGATTTTTCTGTGAGCATGAGTTACTGAACTTTGTTTGTCTTGATATTGCATAGATGTTGATGAGTGTGCTCAGGGTTCAAGTAATCCATGTAGCATGGTATGTGTCAACACCCATGGAAGTTACAAATGCTCTTGCCCTGATGGATATTATGGTGATGGGTTGAAAGCTGGAACACGTTGCACAAAGATGATCAATAACAGTACATCGTCCCTGAAAAAAATCACTTTTGGTAATCTTTATGTTCATTTTTAATGACATGATGATGCACCCAGTTTAGCGATGCAGGATAGTATATACTGTATTAGATAATTAATCTATCTTAATTTTAAGATATAATGTTTCTTTCCTAAGGGAATGTTAACACTGTTACGATTCCATTCACCTGCATTAACAGTTTCCTTCAAATAACTCTTCTTGAAAAGAAAAGGTCTGCTTTGTACATTTCGGTTGAGGTGAAATTCCTAGATTTATGTTTTCCCTCATAGCTTTAATTGTTATAAGCTCTAAAGTCATATCCATTGTTTTTGTTTAAAATTAGAGTCTTCTCTTCAAGGTCGATATGATCTTGAATTGAGTTGTGCACACACTAAAAAATAAATATATATATGCATATGCTGATGTAAATATATTTTGTGTTACTTGACCTTTTTTACACAAACCCTCTTTGGCTCTTTGGAGAAAAAAAATTATTAATTGTTTAATATCATATTACCTATCGTGTATAATACATTTATTACTCATGAACTGCAGGACTGGGAGTAGCCTTGGGATCGATTTTTCTGTTTCTTGTTGGTTGGTGGTTATACTCAGTGATGAAAAGAAGAAATGCTGTTAAGCAAAGAGCTAAATACTTTGTTAGAAATGGCGGCTTATTGCTGCAGCAACATGTATCTTCTGACGAAGGAGTTGTGGAGCGAATAAAAATCTTCACTGCTGATGAACTGGAGAAAGCCACTGACCATTTTAATGAGGATAGAATACTTGGACGAGGAGGACAAGGCATTGTGTATAAGGGAATGCTTGGTGAAGGAAAGATTGTTGCCGTAAAGAAATCTAAGGTATTAGATGAAAGCCAATTGGGAGAATTCATCAATGAAGTGGTTATCTTGTCTCTAGTTAATCATAGGAATATAGTGAAGCTATTAGGATGTTGCTTGGAGACAGAAGTTCCATTACTAGTTTATGAGTTTATCCCTAATGGAAGCCTTTTCCATCACATTCATTATCCAAATGAAGATTTCCTTATCACGTGGAGAATGCGATTACAAATTGCCATTGATTCAGCTGGAGCACTTGCTTACTTGCATTCTTCCTCTTCAACTCCTATATTTCACAGAGATATCAAGTCTTCCAACATTCTATTGGACGAAAAATACAGAGCTAAGCTATCAGACTTTGGGACTTCAAGATCTGTGGCTATAGATCAAACCCATGTAACAACTCGCGTCATGGGAACATTTGGTTATTTAGATCCAGAGTACTTTCAGTCAAGCCAGTTTACTGAAAAGAGCGATGTTTACAGTTTTGGAGTGGTCTTGGTAGAGCTTTTAACAGGGCAGAAAGCAATTCGTTCAACTCAAGAAAATAAAAGTTTGACATCTTGGTTTCTTTCCCATATGGAAAATTCCCAATGGCTTGATATTCTGGATCCTCAAGTACTACAAGAGGGTGCAAAAGAAGAGTTACTAGCTTTGGCAAACCTTGCAAAACAATGCTTAGACTTGGACGGGAAGATAAGACCGACCATGAAAGAAGCTCTCCAAGAGATTGAGGCAGCCAGATCCCTTCATTTATCTCGAATAAATCACCAAGATGTGTTGGAAACTCAACCGAGCATCACTACAACAGCTAGGAGACGTACCTGTGATGGCTCTGCATATTCTAGAATGTCTAATCTGGAAAACCGCTCTTTAGATTCAGCTGAACTGTCTCTGTTATTCAACCCAAGATGATGCAATGAAATCTTCACGGTTTAGACTTATGTATCCCAGCCTCCCAGGTAATGTATGTAGTGAAGGGATGATTGTCTACTTTGTTTATGCTGCCTTTTTTTTTTTTGGATGTTCTCATCTTGTTAGCTTCGTAATTTCGTACAATTAGTAGTACTTGATTATACAAGTATACTGCTGGTACTATATTTGTTAGCTAGCTAAGCATTAGAATAAATATATTCTCATCTTCGAGTTAAGACCGAGTACTAAGATGTTGAGCACATCATTTATCACCTTTTATCCACCTCCCTCCCCTCTTCATTGTTTTCTTGGCCTTTAGAGTTGGAGCTGAGCTATCAAAAGATCAAGGACCACTTCAAAGTTCAAAGTTGATGGTTGGTTATGGACTTTTAAAGTTTAATACATATATAGTCAAAAGAAACTGCTGAGGTCCCTAAAGGTGTTATTGACATGATAGTGGTAAATTACTAAATTCACAAAGTTGTCATAGTTCCCATTGAATAGAAATCCAAGACTTTACCCCAAAATTGTTAGGAGAATGGTAAATTCACATGTTTTGACCAGTTTATGCTAATGACAATATTCTGTTTCTAGTATTACCTAATTTCCTGTTTGGGCCGTGTGACAAGTTTCAGAGGATAAAGTCCAATTCAGCGCCTGATATTGACATTACTAAAGGATGGAAGTTTCTACCTACTACTTTTATTGTAATTATATATAGCAATTTTTATTTATGGAACAAGATTTTGTGTAATTTATGAGTGCTGAATTTAATTTGAGCTGTAACATGCATATAGCGAGGCTTCTCTTCTTTCTCTCGTCAATGGTTGCAATCATAGTAGCTGGTGTTATGGCTTCTGTAACACCAGCCAACATGTTCACAGCTGTAAACACCACCAAACCTGGTTGTTCGCGGAAATGTGGTGAGTTAACCATACCTTACCCATTTGGCATTGAACCTAATTGCTCCCTTGATCATGGCTGGTTCACTGTAAAATGTAACACCTCCTACAATCCCCCAAGAGCTTTTCCAATGATTAGCCTTGGGTCAGGAAATTCAGAGATCTTGAATATAACCGAGAGCCAAATAATGATCCGGAATTCTCAGATAGCTTCTAAATGCTACAATTTACAGGGAAATGAGGTCTCAGGAAACCAAGGGAGCTTCGATATATATGACTCTCCCTTTACTTATTCAACCACAAACAAGCTGACAGTTGTTGGCTGTAATGATTATGCTGTAATTTCTGCTTCAACTGGGACCCTAACAAAGGGAAACCAATTCAATTTTAGAGCAGGTTGCCTAGCCTTGTGCTCCAACCCAGATGAGGTGATCCAAGGATCGTGTTCGGGTTTGGGTTGTTGCCAGACATCCTTCCCAGTAGGGCTGCAATCATCACAATTACTCTTTCAAGCCTGCAAAACCGCTCTATTGGTGGTGTCTCAGCTGTTCAGCCTTGTGGATATGCTTTTTTTGCTGGAATCGACAGCTTCAGTTTTCAAGGAGCCTCAGATTTGAATGGCACGGTGGTGAACCGAACAATACAGCAAGTCCCTCTTGTGCTTGATTGGTCTGTTGGAGTCAGTCCTTCAACTAGGCTTACTTGTGATGAAGCAAAACGAAATTTAACTACGTATCTTTGTCAGTTAAATACAGAGTGTATTGATTCTAATGCAGGCGGATATCGTTGCAACTGCCTTTCTGGCTACATGGGTAATCCCTATCTTGAACCAGGCTGCACAGGTTAGTGGCTGCAGGTTCCTGTTCTCCCCTTTATACAAGTATAACAAATCATCTTCAATCGAAACATTTTCTTTCTTGAGTCTTGACTAGACATTTTGCTTATCTCTAAATAGATGTTGATGAGTGCGCCGCTGGTTCAAATAGTCCATGTGCCATGGCTTGTCTTAACACTCCAGGGAGTTTTCGATGTTATTGCCCGAGTGGATATTCTGGTGATGGATATAAAAATGGGACAGGTGGTTGTATTAAGGTTCCTGATAGTTCATCATCTCTTGGGAAAATTATTCTAGGTAATTCTGAACTTGTTGATTTATGGAGAATATGTCAGCTATCCAACTTTTCAGTTAGTTCTTATATATTTGAATGGTTAAAGTAAGTTTGCTCACGAGATTGGCATTAAAAATGCATTGAAATATGATGCTCTTCTTCAAGGTCAATATCATTACTAATTAATTAATTTGGTAATTTCTGTTTTCTACGACGTATAGGACTGGGTATATCCTTAGGATCAATCCTTCTTCTCCTTGGTTGTTGGTCTTTGTATTCATTTGTCAAAAGAAGAAGGATAGTTAAGCAAAAGGCCAAGCACTTTGAGCGAAATGGTGGCTTATTGTTGCAACAACAAATGTCTTCTGATGAAAGTATTGTGGCAAGAATTAAAATCTTTTCTGTTGAAGAGTTGGAAAGAGCCACTGACGACTTCAATAAGGACAGAATACTTGGGCAAGGAGGCCAAGGTACAGTTTATAAAGGAATGTTGAGCGAAGGAAGGATTGTCGCCATAAAGAAGTCTAAAATGGTGGATGAAAATCGACTAGGAGAATTCATCAATGAAGTGGTTATCTTATCGCAAATCAATCATCGGAATATAGTTAAACTATTGGGATGCTGTTTGGAGACTGAAGTTCCACTGCTAGTTTATGAGTTCATTCCAAATGGAACTCTTTTTCATCATATTCATTACCCAAGTGAAGAGTTTTCAATCACATGGAGAATGCGCTTGCAAATTGCTTCTGATTCAGCCGGAGCACTTGCTTACTTACACTCGTCATCTTCTATTCCTATCCTTCACCGAGACATCAAATCCTCAAATATCCTTTTGGATGACAAGTACAGGGCAAAGCTATCAGATTTTGGAACTTCGAGATCTATTGCCCTGGATCAAACCCATGTAACTACTCGTGTTGTGGGAACGTTTGGTTATCTAGATCCAGAGTACTTTCAATCAAGCCAATACACTGAAAAGAGTGATGTTTACAGCTTTGGAGTGGTACTCATCGAGCTTCTAACAGGACAAAAAGCTATACGTAGTATCCTCGAAGAAGATAGAAGTTTGACATCTTGGTTCCTCTCACACATGGAAGATTCTCGTTTACTTGATATCATTGATACACAGCTCATACAAGAGGGATCAAAGGAAGAGTTTCAAAGTGTTGCTGATCTCGCAAAGAGGTGTTTAAACTTTGAAGGAAGGTACAGACCAACAATGAAAGAAGTTCTGCTTGAGATAGAAGCGGTTTTGGCACTTCATTTGCCACAGCAAGAAACTCAGAACACGGCCAGTACTCTCAGTGGTAAGGGAGCAGCTAAGCGTACACAAGATGGTCTTTCGTATTCTAGCACAATTTATATAGATAATAATTCTTTGAATTCTGCTGAATTAACTTTATTATTCAATCCCAGGTGATGATTCATGTTTTGCTTCTTTTGAATCCGTTAAAAAATTATGGAACTTTGGTATAATGATTAAGCATTTTTTTTTTCCTCGTATAATAAGGAGACAAGTATATAATATATATTAATCTATTGGTTATTGTATCTCATTACTACTTTGCAATTATGGAAGGCTTTTTTTTTTTTTTCCCTTTGTATCCATACGATCTGGGTAAACGACGCAATGTGTGATTGTAGATTTGTTCTTACATAAGGAAGTGTTCTCACATAAGGTAGATGTTATCTCAACAACTTTCCTTAGATATAAAATATTCGATTCTATGTAAAATTAGGAAAGAGGAAGTAGTTGATAGACTGATAGTAAAAGAGGGAAGATGAAAAAGCACTATGCCCGAGTACTCTTTGTTGATGAGGCTTTAGATTTCATTATAAAAAAAAAAAATAAAAAAAAATAAAAATTAAACTTTGCAGGCTCAAAAGAAGGGGGGACTTTAGAGGCACAATGGTGGGCAAATGCCCTGAGTGCTCTGTTTAAGAGGGAACTTATTTCATGATATAGATTTTCCCTCGTGGCTTATGAAGGAAACTTATTTCGAGTTAAGGTAAAACCAACACTAAGGCTCTATTCAGGTCCGCTCGTTCAAACACAAATTGAATCCTTCTCTTGATAAACTAATTTGTTATGACTTGCTACCATTCTACTACTCCATTCAATTCGTTTTAGGATAACTGACATTCTTTATGAACACGTAGTTTAAGAAAATAATAGGTGAAAATCATAAAATGAGTTGTTTAATGTAAAGTTAGTGGATTTAATTTATATCATTATAACAAAAAACATTTGATAGTGGAGAAAGTCTAGTGTAGTATATTAATTGAATAACGATAATCCTATGCAATTTATTTTAGCGTGTCAATTCTAAATTGGTCAAATATTTAGGTGATAGTAATAATGACTTAAGCTTATAAAGGCAATCTACATTGGACTTCAATGTCTAATAACTTAAAATATGTTGTCATTTTCTTAATGGTGATTTTGTAATTGTAACATCACTATATGAAATGATGTGGTCTTGTAGAACAAGAGTAGGTTTGGATAATGGTATATTCTTAAAAAGGAATGATATAGAGGGAAGCATATAAGGGCAATGTTGTCTATGTTGATATATACTTCATATATAATTTTGGGTTTTTCTAATGTATTTTACGAAGTATATTTAATTTTAATCTAATTTATTAGTCAAATTGAAATTAATTTGGGTTTTATTCAGACAGGATCTATTATGGGACATGTCAACCACAACTCAGGTTTGAATTTATGTTTAAATAAGACTAAATTATGATTGTATATTTGTATTATATACTGAATTATGAATTAAATATAATTTTTTTTTGACCATTTGCATTTGAGTGTTAGTGTAAAATAGACGTACATATGACATATTAGGATTTGATCTTTCCATACTTTGACTATGACTGAGTCATTTTTTCCTATAAATGGCAGATTTGCTTTAGGTGATCACAACAATCAAAAATTAAAATAATTATATGACTATGAAATGTTGCGTTTTTAAGTCATTTATCTTCACTAACCAAGCTAAGTTTTCTATGTTTATCATTAAAAATCATTTCAAAATGTTGTATTCATCAAATAAAACTCCAATACAGTACACTGCTGTACAAATAAATTAACAGAAAGCTATATTTTTTGGGTACCACTGCTGAAATTTGATGCATCATAACATCCTTATTATAGTTCTTCTTTAGAGTCATTGATTTTTGCCGAACTGAAATTAATTTAATTGAACTGATTTTATTTTATTTTACTGAATAGAACTTACTTTTTATTGATTATTATTTTCTTAAGGTGAACTAAACAGAGCCTACGTCTTAACTAAAAAAGAACGAAAGAAGTATTAAGCAAATTAAAAATGCTATTGGATTAATTAGTCACAATATACTCTGTATAAACTTTAAATTATCAATTTTTAATAGTTTTGTTAGTTATTAATAGACAATAAAAGATCTTAAACATCAAAGTTATATGTCGAAACAAGTATCCGATCAAACTGTATCACTTAAAATATAATAAAAAAGTAGAGGGAATACGTTAGAAGCAATATAGCTATGTGAAATTTTGTTAATTAATTGTGTTGAAATTATCAATTTTTGTAATTTTTACTTTCCGAGAATTAAAGATAGTAATAGTCGTATTTGTACATTTAAAAAAGTAAAACTATGTATGCAACAATTATCTGAACCTAATCTTCAGTGTCAATATATGTCATCCTGCAGGATTGAGTGTAACACTGGGATCGATACTTCTGTTTCTGGGTGGATGGTGGATAAATTCCTTAATCAAGAAAAGGAAGGTTGTCAAACAAAGAGCTAAATTCTATGAGAGAAATGGTGGATTGTTGCTGCACCAACAAATGTCTTCTGGTGACGGAGTTGTAGAGAGAACCAAAGTTTTCACAATTGAGGAGTTGGAGAAAGCCACTGACCACTTCAACGAAAATAGAATACTTGGACGAGGAGGCCATGGTACTGTCTATAAAGGAATGCTTGGTGAAGGAAGAAAAAAAAAGCGAAACTAGTGAAAGACAGCAATCTTGAGGTGTTCATTAATGAAGTGGTTTATCTTATCATTAATTAATCACAGGAATATTGTGAAGTTATTGGGATGTTGTTTGGAGACGGAAATTCCATTACTAGTTTATGAGTTTATAGTTTATACCCAATGGAACTCTTTTCCACCATATTCATTATCCGAGTGCAGAGTTCCAAATCACTTGGAAAATGCGCTTACAGATTGCTTCTGATTCAGCTGGAGCACTCGCGTATTTGCATTCATCATCATCTATTCCTATATTTCACAGAGACATCAAGTCTTCCAACATACTTTTGGATGACAAGTATAGAGCTAAATTATCAGATTTCGGCACCTCAAAATCAGTGGCGACTAATCAAACCCATGTAGCCACTGAAGTAATGGGAACATTTGGTTATTTAGATCCAGGGTACTTTCAATCTAGTCAGTTTACTGAAAAGAGTGACGTTTACAGTTTTGGTGTGGTTCTTGTCGAGCTTTTAACAGGACAAAAAGCAATACGCGCAATATCAGAAGAGGATCGAACTTTGACATCATGGTTTCTTTACCATATGGAAGACTCTAGTTTGCTTGATATTATATATTCTCAAATTCTACAAAAGAGTTTGAAGGGAGAGTTTCTCACAATTGGTAATCTCGCAAAGCGATGTTTAAACCTGTATGGAAAGAAAAGACCAGCCATGAAAGAAGTTTTGCAAGAGATAGAAGCTGTATTGTCAACTCCACTGTCTGCTGGAACAACATCCAAAGGTTTATACTACAATGACTTTACAAGTTATAGCACTTCCTATATGGAAAGCAGCTCTTCTAGCTCTGCTGAACCTTCTCTATAATTTAGTCGATAACATTTGGTAACAATACTTAAAAGATGCTCTCTACTTTGTTTCATGTAAAATTTAATTTTTGAAGAGCTACATTATGATTTTTTTTTTCTAGATTTTATGGGGTAATTCTCTGTTTCTCATTGTGAGAAACAAGTATTGTTTCTCATTGTGAGAAACAAGTATTGTTTCTCATGGGGTATGTGTCAAAATCTGGGGCTCCCACTCATGAGACACATACGCGGTCCCCACCAATGAAAAACATCATATTATTTTCCAAAATGTCATTATGAGAAACAAAAGTGTTTCTCATAATGAGGAACTAGGGCTCCCTCGATATTATGTTCCTGTCCATCCTGTTAATCTACAATATGATTTCTCTTTGACTCTTTGGTAAGTAGTGTAATAGCTATATCAAGAGATAAGCTCTCTACTATAGTACTATGTCTTCAACTCTACTATGTTTTCTTTTTCGTATGCGTTACATTCGTGCATAGGCAATCTGTAATTTGAGTTATATATGTTGTATTGGTAATGATTTTTTTATGCGGCTAAAATTGTTCCTCAAAAATCAATGGGCCATGAAAGGGTAGAGAAAAAAGGTTTTAATTAGCGGTCCCATGCTATATTTTATAACATGTCAGTTATTTTAGAACGGACGAAAATGGGAACTATGTCAGTTATTCTGGGACAGCAGGAGTAATATACATACTTTCTCTATTCTTTTATAGTTGGCATGTTTCCTGTATTATAACGTTTGTCAACACATAAGTTCAACGATTAATAGCTTTACTTATCAATAAGTGAAATTATAAAAAGTTGATAATATTAAAATATACATTGAGAGATTTGAGACGATTCAAACAAACTCTCATATGACTATGACTTTTCATAAGTACAAAAAAATAAATTTATGGATAGTGGTATAAGGTCCTGTTCACTTCACCTTAATTTTGCCGAATTGAAATTATTTTTATTGAATTAAAATTATTTTTACTGAAGAGAAATTATTATTACTGATTCCTTATTATAATTCTTCTTTAGAGTTACTGATTTTTGCTGAAATGATTTATTTTTTTTACTGAATAGAACTTACTTTTTATTGATTTATTATTTTCTTAAGGTGAACTAAACAGAGCCTAAGTCTTAACTAAAAAAGTACGAAAGAAGTATTAAACAAATTAAATATGCTATTGGATTAATTAGTCACAATATACTCTGTATAAACTTTAAATTATCAATTTTTAATAGTTTTTGTTAGTTATTAATAAAAGATCTTAAAGATCAAAGTTATATGTCGAAACAAGTGTCCGATCAAACTGTATCACTTAAAATATAATAAAAAAGTAGAGGGAATACGTTAGAAGCAATATAGCTGCGAGAAATTTTGTTAATTAATTGTGTTGATAATATCAATTTTTGTAATTTTTACTTACCGAGAATTAAAGATAGTAATTGTGTATTTGTACATTTAAAAAAGTAAAACTATGTATGCAACAATTATTTGAGAGTTGTGTTGTCATGTCACTATCTAGCTAGCCCTAGCCCGGTAGATAAGTAAGAAAACTAGGACTAGTACGAACATGAGAAAGTTGTTACTCATTTACTCCATGTCTCCATGATAACATGAGAAAGTTGTTACCCAAAATTCTCTTGTCGCCTTTGGATGCGACACGTATGTATGGTTTGTTGTTGCTGCTTGGTGGAATGATACAACAGATATTCGTTTGGGGTGCATGACTCTATGTGATGAAAAACAAGCAAAGAGTTTTGGTCTTGGTAAGAATAATGTATGCTCTGGGTATGGGTGTTGCAAGGCCTCCATTCCTGATGGAAATCATGAAATGACCATACTCAACATAATGGCTCGCAGTTTCGACAATCACACGTACGTGCAAAATTTCAACCCATGTAGTGTCGCATTTGTGGTCGCAAATGATGCTATGCCCACCAATATTGCAGACTATCTATCCCAAGACGTTACTTATTTCGAGAAGTTGCAGCTTCCTGTGGTTTACGATTGGTCGATTATTGGATCTGGATATTGTGCAACTGCGAAAGCTGATAAAGATTACATATGCAAGGGGAATAGTGAGTGCCTTGACGTTAACAGGGGATACCGCTGCCAATGCAAGCCTGGATATGAGGGGAATCCTTACCTTAATGATTGCCAAGGTATGTAATGCATTTTCTATCTTCCAGTAGAGTTACAAATAAGATTGGTATGTTTGTTATTGATATTGAAAATTAGGGGAGTAATGTTCGATGCATTTTTACATGTTAGATATTGATGAATGTGTGCAAAGCAATAAATGTACATTCCCAGCATATTGTGTCAACACACTTGGAAGTTATGCTTGCTTATGCCCGCGAGGTTACATCGCAGATGTTACAAATGGTCGTTGTATTTCTACTGATCAAAGTCGCCGATACAAACTGTTAATAGGTATTGTGTACGTTTGTCAGACTATAATTCTTGTTCATGCTTAGGCGCGTTGGTGATGGATTTACAATAACTAATGAAATTATCGAAGTTTTATTATAGGGGTGCGACATTTTACTATTTTAGATGGAACTTGTGAGATATCAAAAGGTTACGAAATAATCCCTCTTGGCCTAAAAGTTTCCTCCACAATCCTTTCAAGATTATTGTCTCTTTAAATTTGCATCATTCCATTTCTATTGAGACCACTATTTTACCCTCACAAACCATTTTTTTGGTCCCACTAATTTTTTCCCTCATTACTTTAATAAACCAAACTTAATAAAGTGAACAATTAATAGGATATGCCTTAATGGCTTAATCATAAAACAATTAAGGGATGGAGACATGGATGGAGTAACACTCACATGTTTTAAAAATGTTGTCGTGAACTGCAGGACTAAGTGTAACCTTAGGATTAATACTTTTGTTTCTCGTGGGCTGCTGGTTATATAAACTGGTCAAAAGAAGACAAGCTATCAAGCAAAAAGCTTTATATTTTGAGAAAAATGGCGGCTTGTTGTTACAACAACAACAAATGTCTTTAGGTCAAGGAGTTGTAGAAAGAACAAAAATCTTCACTATTGCTGAGCTACAAAAAGCCACTGATCAATTTAGTGAGGATAGAATTCTTGGACTAGGAGGCCATGGGACAGTCTATAAGGGAATGTTGGGGGAAGGAAAGATTGTCGCCGTGAAGAAGTCGAAGAGATTAGAGGAAAGCGAAATGAGGGAATTCATCAATGAAGTGGCCATCTTATCACAAATTAATAACAAGAATATTGTGAAGTTGTTAGGATGTTGTTTGGAGACTGAAGTCCCATTACTAGTTTTTGAGTTTATTCCTAACGGAACCCTTTTTCATCACATTCATTATCCAAGTGAAGAGTTTTCGATCACCTGGAAAATGCGTTTGCAGATTGCTTCTGACTCGGCTGGAGCACTAGCCTACTTGCATCATTTATCTTCAATTCCTATCTTTCACAGGGAGATCAAATCTTCGAACATACTTTTAGATGAAAAGTACAGGGGAAAGTTATCAGATTTTTGAACTTCAAGACTTGTGGCTACTGATCAAAGTCATGTAACTACTCGTGTTATGGGCACGTTTGGTTATTTGGATCCAGAGTACTTTCAATCTAACCAATTTACCGAAAAGAGTGATGTTTACAGTTTTGGTGTTGTCCTTGTTGAGCTTTTAACAGGACAAAAAGCAATACGTGCTATATCAGAACAAGATAGAAGTTTAACATCATGGTTCCTTTCCCATATGGAAAATTTGCGTCTGCTTGATATCATAGATTCCCTAGTCCTACAAGAAAATTGTAAAGAAGAGTTTCACACAGTTGCTAATTTGGCAAAGCAATGTTTAAACTTGGATGGAAAGAGAAGACCCTCCATGAAAGAAGTGCTACTCGAGATAGAGGCAGTTTTGTCATTTCATTTGCCACAAATGAATGAACCAAACTCGCCGAAACCTGATCAAGTGTTTGTTACCGGAGCAATCCAAGGTTCACTAAGCGATTGTGCTTCAAGTTCTAGCACATTTTATTTGGAAAGCAAGTCTTTTAAGTTCTGTTGAGGCTTCTCTTTTATTCAATCCTAGATGATGCGTGCATATATATATCTTCTATAATCTTGTAATCCATATCATATGTATAATTGAAGAACATTATCATGTATAAGCCTATTTCCTTTCCTTTTTTTTTATCCCCTCGCTCTTTCTTTTGAAGGGCCTAATTTTTGTTAATCACACACTCTCGTCGGAGCTGGCCGTATCCACCACGTCACTATATCTATAGTCCTATACGTACCAAGTCAACTATATCAAATGATTTCATGTAGGCTTGCACATGCTAGTAATATGTAAAAACTTCCACGAGTTCCACTATCATAATGTTCTAAAGTATTATACATAAATCTAGAAAAATTAAGTGCAAGCATTAATCTTGTTTGATTTATTATATGGAAGCTTCTTGAACACAGACATATACTCCACGTCTCTACCAAAACACCGGGGCAAGACGTTTGTTGGTAATAGGACATAGAAGTAGTAAATAAAATGGCAGTGGATTGAATTAAGATCATATCTAAACCTAATATCCGAATTTTTAGCCTAGGACTCACAATTGAAATCGGATCAAGATCATTATGCTATTTCTTACGAGTAGATATTTTTGAGATATTTTGGGACCCAATCTCTTTTTTTTGCTGCATTACTAGTTCTACACTATCCACCAAATTTCCTTATGCAACGTTAAGCACGTAAAATCCAACGCGAAGCAATTATTTGGAATAAAGAATATTATCATTCCATTCAAAAAGAAAAAAGTAAATATTATCATTGTCCCAACAAGTAGACCAGTATTAACTGGCAAAGTTACATCTTTTTTCCCTGCTTTATATTTAGTACTGTTAATAATAATGCATGCAATAATTGTTGAGATATTTGATCCATATGTTTTTCTAAACCACAAATGCGTTTCAACACTATTAAACTATTCTACGCTTAGACTACCCCCACACTGAA